AGTGCTACTGCTGTGTTGAACAGCACCCAGCTTCACAGGCAAATCCCAATATTTGTGTCTAAATGAGGGGTAATAATGGTGGGAAACTCAGGTGGGGGCAGATGTGGGGTCAGAAAGCCRGCAGGTAACCAAAGGTGCTGGGAGGGATCTCTCTTTGAGAGGAGGAAGAGGAAGAAGAGGAGGAAGGCAGCATCAGGGCTCCCTCAGGAAGCGCAGCCTGGCTGCCCAGCACAGCGTAACACAACTTTGGGGACTGGGACTGAAGCCAAACCCACCCAAAYGAGAATCTAAGCCCTTTTGATTGGGAAGTGTAATTAACGACTAAAACCATTTCCTGAATATGGAGCAGATTTGCTACTGCTGGAAATATTTGTGYGTCTGATCCTCCTCTCCATGACCCTCTAAACCCTGTTCCCTTGCCATGCAGAGCCCTGYGAACCCYYCYYCMWYCCCCMWTYCCCCCATCCCCGCTCACCTTTTTCTTCCCCCCGCAGTTGCAGCGGCACTTGCACTCTCCAGCCCCSACTCTGCCCAGGCAGCAGGCCAGGGGCGGTTTGGTCACCTCTCTCTCCATCTCCTCGGCCGCGGGGTGCAGGGCGAGCCCCCGCAGCGGCTCCCGGGGCTGGAGGCTCTGCCGGGCACCGATCGCGGCCGCGTCCCCCGGGAGCCGCCAGTGCGCGGGGTCCATGTGGCTCATCAGCGGCTCCGGCAGCGCCGGGGTGACCACGGGGGACCCCAGCGGGATCTCGGGAGGGTTGGTGATGGGCTGGTAGGTGACGTACCCTGCAGGACACACACCGAGTTAGGGAGCAGGAATAGTCCCATTGTCCCCCACAGCCCTCCGGGGATGGGAAGGAGCCTGGGATCACCCACTGCCTGCACAGCTCAGAGTGCCACCATCCATACTCCTGCACAGAAAGCCTGCACTAATACTAATAAAAGTGAAATAACATTTATTCCAACTGCTACCTAACCTGTGAAATATCATCAGCCAAGGTAAAACGTASCAAAGGGCAAAAAACTCCTCAATCCTTAACTCCACGTGGCTGTGTCAGCCCACCCCAAACAGAGCCCMCTCCAAAGGAATTTTTGCCCTGGCACTGTTGCTGCTCATCGAGGAAAGGATCTGCTGTAACACTGGCTGGAAAAAATTTATCTTACATCCAGGAAATGCTAAATAYCTCCACTGTGAACTAGGGACAGAGCCCTGCACTTTGAGACTCTGCAGGGACAGCTGGGCTGGGCAACTTCTGTCTGATTTTCCCCTAAAATCCCCCATGACGTGGCTCCTCAGCTCTTTGTGACCCCCCCAGTTCAGCCCACTTTTCCCTCCCCAGTGATTCCACCGGAGGATCTCTCCTCCACCCCAAAGCCACCTTTTCTTTTTTGGAAAACTGTTACACTGTCAGCCTTGTCTTTTTAAAACAAACCTAATTCCTTCCATTTTTGTGCTCCTACGTAATTTTTTTTCCAGTCTCTGGTCATTTCAGCCTCCCCTCTGGGTCCCCTCGGGAGCACATCTGCATCCCAGGGATGAGGCACCATCTCCCATCCGTCTGCAGAGCTGGATTAGTGTTGGACTCGAYCTTAGAGGTCTTTTCCAAGCTGAATGATTCCATCATTTCTGCACATCTGCAGAAAGCAGCAAAATCTGCTCTTTTCTGCACGAGTATAAACTTCTGGTGGGCATTTAGGTTTGCAATCTGCCCATAATTGCATAATAAATTGTATGTGTTAAATTACATAATAAAGTGTATATGTTCTGTACATAACTTTGTGAAATCTATATCACATACTCCATGCAACTCAATTACCAAGTGCCCAGGCTGGCAACAAAATAAAGAAAAATCCTTGATTAAAGTGATTTTCTAATCCAGTCTGCAAATTTTAAGCAGGCTTATTTTTTACTTCATTATTAATAATGAGAGTATTGTATCTACTCTCTTTCTCTCAWAAAGCAAAGAAAAAGGAAACTTAGSTTGGTTTGTACCTGAGAAATCCATAAGAACTCCTTTTTATGGCCCTGGGGTTTGCACACTGGTTGGTTCAGAAAGGCTGCACAGTGAGGCACGAAATGAAAAACCAGGAGAGCACAATGCTCTTGATTTGGGTAAATATCCACATTTTCGGGTCAGGCTCCTGGGGAGCAGATGCCTGTGCCACAGCCAGTTCCAACATGGATAATGGATAACTCAGCACATCCCAGGCTGATCTCATGGAATCACAGAATGTCCTGGGCTGGAGGGACCCCCAGGATCACCCAGCCCAGCTCCTGTCCCTGCCCAGACCCCCCAACAGCCCCACCCTGTCCATCCCTGGCAGCGCTGTCCAAACACTCCTGGAGCTCTGGCAGCCTCGGGGCCGGGACCATTCCCTGGGGAGCCTGGGCAGTGCCAGCACCCTCTGGGGACACAAGAACCTTTCCCTGAAATCCAACCTCAACCTCCCCTGACAGCTCCAGCCGTTCCCTGGGTCCCGTGAAAGAGATCCCCAACAGCAGAACCTGATTTCAATTCCATCAAGAAATCAATATGGGATTCAAGTGATAAAAACCAGCAAAGAACTTGGTGTTGCAAAGATAGAAACAAGCAAAGAACCCTTCAACGCGGCTTTATCAAAGCCAAACCTTGAAGAAAGATCTTGAGACTGGGTTGGCTAAAGGCGGCCACAGACCCGACACTGCCATGAGCTCTGTGATCTGCATCGCATAAACCACCCAGAAGGACAGGAGGCAGCAGGGGAGGGTTTAAGGATGGCACAGGGACAGCTGGACAGCAGGAGATGTTGGTGACCAGCACAGGCCGTGGCTCCCCACGGCCACACTCTGCAGGACCTCAGTAAGGAGCAGCAAACGTGAGCTCAGGCACTGAGAACCAGGAGAGAACCGGGATAACCAGAGGGAACTCGGTCAGCTGGTTAGTTGGGTCCACCCAAACTCTATTTTAGTCCAAGRAAATGCAAATTTCCATCTCCAGGAATGAGGCCTGTAAGCACCATCTGTGTGGAGGAGGCCTGGATCCTGGAAAACAGGGCCGGGAGGAGCAGAGCGGCCAAAAGTTTGCAAAATGCTGCACGGCACAAATTCCCAGTGGGAAAGGAGAAAGCAGCACTTTGGTGTGGCCATCCCCAGGGAAATAAAAGACCCAGATCCCACACAGGCACATTTTCCATGTGTTCAACCCCGAAAAAACTCATCCCCATTGTCCAGGGATAACACAACAGCCATGGGGTGGGACATGGCTGAAGTGTCCCCAAAGGGTGGCATGGCCCCGAGGGGCTGAGAGGGGTCCCAGGGCAACTCAGAGGGACCAGGAGCTCTGCCCCAAGGGCTGGGGCTTGGTGGGACATTCCTGCAAATTCCCAGTGCTGGGAATCCACGTGGGCCTGTCTGTGTCTGATGGAGGAGATGGGACCTGTTAGCAAAATGGGGAAGGGAAGGAAAGGGAAAGAAAGGGAAAGAAAGGGAAAGAAAGGGAAAGAAAGGGAAAGAAAGGGAAAGAAAGGGAAAGAAAGGGAAAGAAAGGGAAAGGGAAGGCTCTAGAGCCCTTCTGAGCTGAGGAGCAAAATCAATCCCAAACTGTGAGAGCTCAGAGCAGGCAGGTGAGCCAGGAAGGGATCTGAGGTGGGAGAGCCAACCTTCCCCAAAAGATGGATTTAGCCTGTGGAATGTGCTGGGTTTGGCTGGGTTAGAGGTCATTTCCTTTGTAGCAGCTAACACAGGCCATGATTGGGATTTGKGAGTGAGCAGCTGTGTGGGGTCAGCTGCTGACCAGGGCTGAACAACAACAGGAATTCTGGAAGAATTGGGGGATGAGTTCATAATACACTATAAAATCACTGATCTTCATCTAACTGGTAACCTGGGAACCAAAAGTCTCCTCACCACAACAAAAGAATCCCCATCCTCATCTGCTGAGGCCCAGAGCTCCAACTCCTCTCCAGATGTCCGTGCTCCTACACCAGAGCTGTGATTGCTCCAAGGAAAATATCCCATTTCACCCAGGAGCCTCCCAAGGGTGCTGGTAATGAATTCTGTGCTCGTTAGCAGGTCCCGTGGGCTCACCTGGGTGCTCGGTGTAGTAATGGAGCCTGAGCAGGTTYTCCTTGGGGTCCATGGGTGCCAGCAGGGAGCGAGGGCTCTTGCTGACCGTGGGGTCTGTCAGCACATTGTGGGTGATTCTGCCATAGGTGTTCCCAAACCTGAAATTGAACTGAGGGACGTAACCCCCGTAGCTGAGGAGGAAACACAAYGAGAACCATCACTGAGAGGGCAGTGGGAGGTGTCCAGTGGCAGGGTAATCAAGGAATCCCAGCTGGTTTGGGTTGGGAARGACCTTAAAGCCCATCCAATTCCACTCCCTGCCACCTCCCACCATCCCAGGCTGCTCCCAGCCCCAATGTCCAGCCTGGCCTTGGGCACTGCCAGGGATCCAGGGGCAGCCACAGCTTCTCTGGGCACCCTGTGCCAGGGCCTGCCCACCCTCACAGGGAACAATTCCTGCCCAATATCCCATCCATCCCTGCCCTCTGGCAGTGCAAATCTGCTGCAGAGCTTTTGTACCCTGGAAAGGCCCTGTCCAGGAGCCCAGGGAAGGTGATGGATGGATGTGCCTGGATGGAGCAGCTCGAGGGGAGAACTGAGACCCCCAGGTATGGTTCCACAGGCAGTGCCTGTGTTGCACGTGTGTGTTCCCATCTGGCAGCACAGAAACTGGCTCAGCAATTCCCAGGCGTGTACGGGCACAGGCTGTGCTTTGGTTGGTGGGGAAACACAGGATGAGGGCAGGGAGCAGCACCTGTGGGTGGCCAAATTCCCAGTGGGAGCAGAGCCTAGGCTGTGTCGCTACGGCAGCACCCACATCCAGCCCCAGCTAAAACATCATCCCAGTTCAACGTGCCCCAGTTTCAGCCTCACAGKGCCTCTGCTCTGACACACAGCCAGTCACTCAGAGATTCCCAGTGCCTCTTGTTTGGTGTGGAAACTCAAAAATCAGAAGGAAAATTCCTCCCTTGCACCCTCCTGACAGCGAGGAGCTGCCCGGGCTCCTGAGCCCCCCAGGCACTGCTGGCACAGGGGGCACAGGGAAGGCACTGCCCAGCCCCAGCAACACAGGCTCTGATTTTTGGGGATTTCTGCACTGCCCAGTCCCAGGGATGGGCACTGTGACTCGAGGGCAGGTGCTRGAGCTCTGGCTCTGCTCCCAGGCACCACCAGAAACTCGAGCTGTTCCAGTCTCRGATTCCCTGATGTTATTCCAGCCCYGAAGAAAGGTAGAGCTGCCAGTTGCGAGGGACAGACAGAAATATTCAATCAATGAGCCCAGCGTGGATCCRGGGACAAAGCCAGATGATGCATGAGGATCATAAGATGATGAGTAAGTGCTTTCCCTTCCAAATGGTTTGAGCAGCAGCGGGCAGAGCCGTGCATTCCCGCTGGGCAGGTTTTCCCACTCTGATGCGGGATTCCTCCCCAGCCACTGCTCTGCCTCATCCCAGGGTCCCCAACGAGCCTTGCAATGTGGGGAAGGCACAGCAGGATGAATAAAACTGGGCAAGGGCACAAATGACAGAGCCCAGGTAATTACAGGATGGCTGGAGGSATTTAATAATGGCAGGGCTGAGAAAGGTTTCATTCCTGCAATTAAACACGAGGTGACCTGAGCAAGCCCGGCTGGGTGCATGAGAAGGGATCTGTCTTGGAGGGAGTTCAGGGCAAAGCCTGGGGAAGGGARCAGMCTCAGCAGGGCTGGYTGTGCCCCTGTGCTGGGGGTTGGTSAAGRAYCCCTKTTTGGGATCCCAGTTTGGGGCTGGGGCTGCTGAGCAGCACAAACCCCGAGGCTGAGCCATCTCTCTCCTCCAGCAGCACTCCCAGGCTGCCACCCAAACCTGCTCTGCCTCCCTGGCTGCCAGCAAAGCCTTGGCCCTGGGCCCATCCTCACCTGTCTGCAAACCCTTCCCAGCGCTGCAGAGCCAGGACAGGGCTGTGCCCAGTGCCCAGTGCCCGGGATACAGGGACTGACCTCTCCTCTGCCCYCCCAGTCCTTCCCAAGCCATCCCACTCGATGGCTTCAGACTTTCCAGTGCTCTTGAGCACTGTGGTGGCTTTTCAAACTCCTGTGGCCACTGCCTGATCTGAGTGCAGCAATGTGCTTTGTACTCTCATGGCATCCCTGGGCTCACTGGCACAGCCAGCTCTGGCACATGGGACAGCTGGTGACACCCTGTGACATGCTGTGACATGGCATCTTCCCCCTCCTCCTGTGCCACCCCAGTGCTGGTGATGCCTTCAGGCAGCTCCTTCTCACCCAAAGCACCCTCAGGGGCCCAGGGTGTGCCACCAGCCTGCACAGCACCAGCAAAGGCAGCTGCACATTTTGGTTCCTCCTCCTGCCTCCAGAGGCCAAAGCAGCTCCCTCGGGAGCAGCCCCAGCTGCTGTGTCCATACTGGGGYTGGGATCTGCTCCTGAGGGAGCTGCAGGGATGAGCAAGGAAGGATTTGGGGTTTTGGGGCTGAAGTTCCAGCCACAGCTCCCTCCTTGCTGTCCCTCGTCTTTCCCAGCAYGGCTTTGATGGCACACTCAGGATGTCACATCAGAAGGCCACAGCAACGCAGAAATGAGTTAAAATACCCAACCTCAGATCTTGTGTGAGTGGGAAGGTACAGAGAGCAGCAATGGAAAATCCTGCCTGTCCCTGTGATGGGAAGGGCTGTCGGGTCCCACTGCAGGAGCAGCCCCAGGGGAAGGGGCTCCACCCTCTGTCTGTGCCCCGGGATCTGCCCCGCTGTGCCCACCCTGCACCCCCCTTGTGCCAGGGCTCACAGCCTGGACAGGCACCAGCTCCCTCAGCCTGGGCTAATCCCAGGGATTTTGCACCCACAGCAGCTCCTYTTCCCCTGGGGGCCACCCAGCCCTTCCCACCCCTTTACACACCACAGAGTGTGGGTCTCACCAGGGTACCCCACACACGACTCCTTTATTCACAGCAAATCCCTTATTCCTCCCACTCAGATCTTCCCTCCTCCCCTGTAACTCATCTATTCACACCCAGGGTTTCTTCTTTCCAAGCCTTTAGAGGAGAGAAAGCCTTGGAGAGAAATCCAACAGCCTATGGAGCGGGGTCACCAGGTTCCACAGCCCCTGACCCTTCCAGGAGCACAGACCTGGCAGCAGGACAGGGCTCCAGCCCAGTGACCAGAGTGTCACCTCTGTACAACCATTTACTCAAAGGAGACACCAAAAACCCTTGGTGCAAAAATTATAACAGTTTGGAAGCCAAACCCTGTGCAGTAGCTCTGGTGGCATTTAGCAGTTTGAAAGAAGTGGGGGAAAAAGAACAATTTTGGCTTTGTTCTCCATGTGTTTTGGCACCGCCCTCCTGCAAGGTGCTGCTTCCCCTGGAGCTCTGCCTCCTTCAGAGCGCTGTTACATGGAATATTGAATAGTGTCTTTAAAAAAACCCCAAAACAYCCTGAGTCATAAACACTACACGATCCCAAGCAGAGCCATTTGCACTGGAAATGGATGTTTTGGTTGGACTTACCCAGGGATGTAGTAGGGGTTTCGAGGGAAGATGCAGTGTCCCTTGAAGCCTGCCATGATGATGTTACTGTGGAGGGGGCAGGGAAGGAGACACAGCTCCCTGTGGTCACCAGGGGATGTCCCTCTGTGATGTCAGCCCCCAGCAGGTTCCACCTGCAGCACAAAGCTCCTCAGGTTCTCCTGGACAGCTCTTTCTTTCCCCACCTGGAATTTCTGGATGAGCCCAGGAATTTGACAGYGCTTTTCAGGCTCGCTGAGGGCTCCCARCCCCACAGACAGCGGTGCCAGATGYTCCCTGTAAGCAGCCCCAGAACAGAGGGGTCCATGGTCACATCCAGCACCAGGACTCTGCAGGGCCTGGCTGTGCCTGCCTGCTCAGCCCCTGCTCCTGCTCCCAGCAGGGAAAGCTCAGGGCTCAGGGATTCACTGGGCTGCAGAGAAGATTCAACCAACCCTCCTCAGCTCCTCCCTGCCCTCCCAGCCCGGCTGTCTGAGGATGGGAAGATCCTTCCCTGCCTGATCCCTGCAGGATAAAGGTTGTTCCCATTCCCAACACCACACAGCCACACTGCCTTGCTGGGTTTGCTGCTGTTCAGCTGAAGGCAGGAGCACAACAGGGGCTCCTCCTTACTGAACAGCCCAGTTGTGCTCTGCGTGGGAAGGGACCATAAAAATCACTTTTTTTCCACCCCCTCCCACTGTCCCAGGCTGCTCCCAGCCCCAATGTCCAGCCTGGCCTTGGGCACTGCCAGGGATCCACAGCTTCTCTGGGCACCCTGTGACAGGACCTCACAGATCTTACTGAGTGTTCGTCAGCCTCCCAAAACGTATGTAGTAACTTCTGAAATTGAAAATTATTAACTTCCTTCTCCCTAAATTCGCCTTCCAGGTGACTGGAATTGCAATTGGAGCTGCAGCCGCATTGCTGCTTGAAGCAGTTGTTGTGTTTGTCATGTATGGACTAATGAGGCTGTCGAATTATCAAGTATTTACTATGTAAGTTTCAAAACCAGGTTTTCCATCAATCTTGAATCTTTTTGTACTTTTCTGTGGTAGCTGTTTGCTGTAGAGGTGTGGTTGGGTGAAGGACTTGTGTAGATTCACTCACYCCGGTCTGAACCCAGAACTGTCTGTGCAGGACTCTGAGGGGTTTCRTTTYTTTGGGGTRTGAGCAGTATCAGCCTCASYATCAGCTGTAAATTATGCAAACTATTAAAATGTTATTGTGTTTGCACTGTCACAGTAATGAGAAATGATGGAATCAGAGGTTTCCTTCAGGAGATTAAAGCCACCCAACCCNAGAGAGCCCTTTGTCTCCTCTGGGGCTGAGGGAGAACCTGGAGCCAGCCCTGCCTGGGGAAGGAGGGATCCCAGGGTGGTTTAAACCCCAAAAGCTGCCCACAGGAGCTGTTCTGGAGGCAGCAGAGTGGCCAAGCTGTGCCCAGGTGCTTTCCCAGCTGCTCAAGGTGGTTTCTGATKTGAGGCTTCTGCTTTCCAGAACAACTTCAGCCCCACGTGCCTCAGTACAGATTTCGCAAGAGRGACAAAGTGATGTTCGGGGGGCAGAAGATCATTAGGAAGGTGAGTCCACCTGGCACAGGGGGAGGSAAAGAAAGATTAAAATCCMRTTTGGGAGGTGTAAAATTTGCAATATTTCACCTGCTGAGCCTGATCCAGGACCTCCAACCTGTAAAATTTCACTGGGATGTTGTGGATRTTTCAGAACTCCTGGAACACTGACTGCATTGCTGATGGAGCAGCAGCAGCTTCTCCTTCTGGCCAAGCCTTTCATCTTTGGAGAATACTTGCAGCCAGTAAAGGTAGTAATAAATGAATGAATATCTAACTCCTGTATGGAATYGATTTAATRTCCCAGAATCCCAGACTGGTTTGGGTTGGARGGAAYCTTAAAGATGATCTCRTTMCACCAGACTGGGTYTCTCCAAGCCCTGTCCAACCTGGCCTTGGACACTTCCAGGGATGGRGGATCCACAGCTYCTCTGGGCCACCTGTTGAATATTTGAGGGCTGTTCTCACCTATTAAAGTGCCTAATTTCCCTCAAACTCATATCTAAGAAGATAAAAATTCTGCTTTGCCTCTTGTGCTCGGTGCCTAAACTGAGAGGTCTGGTATTTTCACCCTTTATAAAATGCATTTGAGTTTGCCCAGATACCCAAGCTCTGCTCAGGGCCAGCCACCCCAGGTGTGTAGGATGGGTGGGCCTGCCAGGGTGCAGGGGCTCAGCTCAGAGGGGCACAGGGACAGACTGAGAGGGAACAGGTACAAGATGAAGAGGAAAGACCCGCAAGGGACAAGGAAAAAATTCTCCTTCAGGGGCACAGAATGATCTGGGACAGGTGCAGGGGTAGCATCTCCAACCTTGGAGATTTTCAATGTCCAGATGGACAAAGTCCAGAGCACCCCAAGGGAATTTTGAAATTAGCTCAGAGTTTAGTGGACAGGTTTATGAGGGACCTAAAAAAAAGCTCCTCCCAGCCTAAACCACCCAATTTTAACACTGAGATGAAAAAGTTGCTTATTGAAATTCAGCACCAACAAACACCTCAGGCCCATCCAGGTCCCACCAGCCCAAGGGGATTTGGGCCAGCACCTTTCCAGCATTTCCAGAAATTCCCTCCTTGAAATGGTCAGTGGCTGCTCCCTCCAAACCCAGGGGTCACAYACTCCCCACAGAGCTGCTGAACAAYCCCACCAAAACACCACTTCTYAGGSTGGAAAMCTGGRTAAAAACAAAGCAGAAATTCACTTTTGTCAAGGTTATCATTAGAATTTATTGATATGAGACAAACCTTGTATGTCACCATGTCAATGGAGGGACAGCACGTCCGGGTGTAAGAGGAGCACAAAGCCCATCTGGGACACTCCACACTCAGGGAGCTCCCAGCTCCAGGCACAGGAGAGCACACACAGCTGGGTGTCACTGGGGACATTTCCTGGGGCAGCAATGCTCCAGAAATACCATGGCTGAGTGGTTTGCCAGGGGACAGCACCCAGCAGGCTGCAGCAGGGACCTGCTGGCTCTGACTCCCACAGGGAAGGGCAGATCACACCAGGCCCCACACAGGGGAAAAAAAACAAAACCCAACACCTATTTGGGGTGAGAACCTGAGCCCAGGGATCCCTGCAGGGAGAGGAGAGCACTTGGGCCCTCCTCCAGCTCCTCAGCCCTCAAGGGGCTCAGAGGAGMAGCAGTGGGGCACACCCTGGCAGGGCTGGGAGCCTTCCCAAGGAGCAGACACAGCCATGCCACGCTCCAGCCTGGCAGTGCCCATGCAGAAGCAGGGTTKTTCTTGTAGCACAATCATCCCTGTGTTGTAACCACTCAGACATTCCCCTCTCAGCAGTGCCCTCTCACAGCACAGCCAGCCAGCCATCTCTGCTTGTGGCTAAAATGAAAATTATCTTTATAATCTTTACTGGAAATACARTTTATGCTGGATTCTACTTTAAAAAAGAAAAAGGCAAGTGCTGAGCTTTCATCTTCTCCCAGCTTACGAAATATTTGGTTTGGTCCTAAGTATCTTGCTAAATGATTAGAGAGGGAATAGAGTATTCCCCAGGCACCTGGTAAATCCACAGTGGATTTATTGTAGAAGCACACTGAATTCTCTAACTCACTCCAAATGGATTTCAGAGCCCTCTGAAACCATCCAGAGAATGAGCTGTTTGTGACACCACACACAAAAAGCAACCCCAAGTTCAATGAGTAACGGGCCTGTACTGAGATAAAGGCCAGGCCAYGCCAGGGGAGGTGCCAGCCCCGCTCTGGGGACACCTGGGACACGGCAGGGACAGAGCCTGGGCTGAGCTGCTCCTGCCTGGCCATGGCACAAACCTGCTGGAGAGGAACCCCTGGCTCCAGACACACACACACACGTGGCACCTCTGCACTCCTCCTGTCCCTCTCRTGGGAGCTGTGACAAGTGACAAAGAGGGTTCTGCTCTCAGCCATCTGGTTTCACCAAATCTAAGTTCCCTCTCACACRTAACAGCATGGATTTAGAGCTCTCATATTGATGGGTAATTATACAGGATTAATTGCACATCAGTCCATTGTGGCTACAAGTTCATTAGGTTAATAAACTACATAGTGACAGTAGTACAGTATCAGCTACTTCTCAATACAAACTCCCTACCCTAACCTTAATTTGTAGGTCAGAGGAAGACCTTMTAACACAGTGACCTCCCAATGACCTTTAACATTCATTTTCAAAATCATTTTTTCTAGAAAACAAAACAACAACAACAACAAAAAAAAATCCAGTGTGGGGAAAACGCACATATATAACCAAAGCAGTGCTTAACAACCACAGGAAAACAGAACATCATCTTGGACTCTTGTTTCAGCATCTTCTGTGGACCCTGGCAGTGTCACTCCCAAAGGGTTCCCAAATGCTCCGTCAGTTCCCAAGCCCATTAAACCATTTCCCAGCTCCAGTTTCCGGCCTCTCACCATTGTCTGTAGCAAGAGCACACAGAAACACTTGCTAATGTGCACAAGACTTCCATCTGATTTCATGGAATAGYTCTAGAAGGCTGCAGTCTTTCCTTCCAGAAAGCTGTTCTCGAGTGGCAGCACTCTCACCGACCGGCGCCTTCTCTTCCAGCCAGGAGAGAGCTCCAAGTCCCTCCCAGTTTTACTCATTCCTTTTGCCCAAAGGTGTACAGGTATCCAACAAAAACCCCTCTCACAGTATTCCCAGGAAATGATTCAGAAGAGGAGATGATTTTTCAACCCAATGAGATCCTCTGGTCCTGTGTRTCAGACCATGGCCAAGAGAACGAGCAGCTGCCATGGACATCCCAACCGAAATAGGGCCCAGCCAGGGAGGGGAGCAAGGTGGCCTGACTATGAGGGACAGGCAAAGAGACCCCAAAATCACTCTGTTCTCRACAATTTGCCTCTCTCCTGGAGTCAGATGTTTGATTCCATTTGTTCTAGCAGGAACTGGTGGATCATGTCAAAAGTGGGGCGATCTTTGATATCCCTGCTCCAGCATTTCAGCATCAGGTCGAACACAGGGTTAGGGCACAGAGGAGTCTGGGACAGATAGATCTGGAAYGAAGAGAGGCACAGTATTTCAGTGRGGTGTTCACAAAAGAACTGAACCTTTACTGAAGCAACACCAAAGGACAGTTTCATTCCAGGTTTACAAGACACAGCCCCCATGCAGGGTTTGGAACCCATCCAGCCCCAGGCTGGCAGTGGAGTCTGGACAGAGCCTCTCAAACAGCACCACGGACACTTTGCCAACTTGTCTGATGAGCTGGTCACAAAACAGGCCTTTGTCCCCCAGAAAACACAGAGGTTTCCAAGGGATTAGTCTTCCAGGAGACAGCAAAACACAAACCAAAACCAAATTTAC